TGCATCTCGGGCATCTTGAACTTGGGGCCCTTCACCTTCCCCTCTGGGAGATCAATGTCCACCTCTGGGCCTTCGATGTCCACCTTGGGGCCGGACACATCCAGGTCTCCTTTTGGGAGGTTCACGTCCACATCGGGGCCTTCTCCCTTCAGCCCAAATTTGGGCATTTTGAACTTGGGCATCTTGAATTTTCCTTCTGGACCATGAATGTCCACGTCTGGCACATCAACGTCAACTTTGGGGCCTTTGATGTCGATTTCGGGGCCCTTCAGGTCACCCTCCAGCTTTGGGGCAGAGACATCGATGTCACCCTTGACCTTGGGTCCCTTGAGGTTGAAGTCAACGTCGGGCATGGAGATCTTGGGGGCCTTGATGTGCATCTCGGGCATCTTGAACTTGGGGCCTTTGATCTTCCCCTCAGGCCCCTCCAGCTCAACATCGGGGAGATCAACATCGACTTTCGGGCCTTTGATGTCTATGTCTGGGGCTTTCAGGTCCCCTTCCACTTTGGGAAGGGAAACATCAACGTCCCCCTTCAGTTTGGGGCCCTTCAGGTTCAGGTCAATGTCGGGCATGGAGATCTTGGGGGTCTTAAAATGCATCTCGGGCATCTTGAACTTGGGGCCTTTGATCTTCCCCTCTGGGCACTCAATGTCCACACTCGGCATCTCAACGTCCACCTTGGGGCCGGACACATCCAGGTCTCCTTTTGGGAGGTTCACGTCCACCTCGGGGCCTTCTCCTTTCATCCCAAATTTGGGCATTTTGAACTTGGGCATCTTGAATTTCCCCTCTGGTCCATGAATGTCCACATCAGGTGCTTCAATGTCCACTTTGGGGCCCTTGATGTCGATTTCGGGGCCCTTCAGGTCACCCTCCAGCTTTGGAAGGGACACGTCCACGTTGCCCTTGACCTTGGGGCCTTTGAGGTTGATGTCCACGTCGGGCATGGAGATCTTCTGGGTGTTGATGTGCATCTCGGGCATCTTGAACTTGGGGCCTTTGATCTTCCCCTCGGGACCCTCCAAATCCACGCCGGGCACCTCCACGTCCACTTTTGGCCCTTTGATGTCCACTTCTGGAGCTTTCAACTCCCCTTCCACCTTGGGGAGGGACACGTCCACATCTCCCTTCACTTTGGGTCCCTTCAGGTTCAAATCCACGTCCGGCATCGAGATTTTGTGGGGTTTGATGTTCAGCTTCGGCATCCGGAATTTGGGACCTTTCCATTTCCCTTCCGCTCCTCCAACGTCCACCTCCGGCCCCTCAACGTCCACCTCCGGCCCGGAGATGTCCACCTCTCCTTTGGGCAGGGTCACGTCCACCTCGGCGCCCTCCATTTTGGGGCCGGACACGTTGAAGTGAGGCAATTTCATTTTGGGCATTTTCAGTTTGGCCTCTGGACCCTCCAGGTGGACGTCCGGGACCTCCACGTCCACCTTGGGCCCCTTGATGTCACCTTCCACCTTGGGGAGGGACACGTCCACATCTCCCTTCACTTTGGGTCCCTTCAGGTTCAAATCCACGTCCGGCATCGAGATTTTGGGGGATTTGATGTTGAGTTTCGGCATCTTGAATTTGGGGCCTTTCATCTTTCCTTCTGGACATTCCAAGTCCACCTCGGGCACGTCAACATCCAACTTGGGACCTTCCACATCCAACCTGGGACCTTCCACATCCAACTTGGGACCCTTCACGTCGATTTTGGCACCTTCCACATCCAGCTTGGGGCCTTTCACGTCGACTTTCGGGCCCTTCAGCCCAGAAATTCCGACGTCCCCTTTCAGTTTCGGGGCCTTCAAGCCCAGATCCACGTCTGGCATGGAGAGTTTTGGGGTCTGCACGTTGAGTTCGGGCATTTTGAACTTGAGGCCCTTCCCTTTGACCTCCGGCCCCTCCACGTCCACGCTCGGGACGTCGATGTCCACCTTGGGGGCACAAATGTCCACCTCCCCCTTGGGCAGCGTCACCTCCAGCTCGGGGCTCTCTCCCTTCACCCCAAATTTGGGCATTTTCATCTTGGGGAACTTCAGCTTGCCCTCGGGGCCTTGGACGTTCAAATCTGGGGCTTCAACCTCGACTTTGGGGCCTTTGATGTCCAGCCCGGGGGTCTGCAGCTCCCCTTCCAGTTTTGGGGCAGAAACGTCCAAATCCGCCTTGACTTTGGGCCCTTTGAGGTTCAGGTCGATGTCGGGCATGGAGATCTGGGGGGTTTTGACGCTCACCTCGGGCACCTTCACCTTGGGGCCCTTCAGCTCCACGCCGGGGACCTCGACGGCGACGCCGGGACCCGAAATGTCCACTCCGCCCTTGGGAAGGGCCACCTCGAGCTCGGGGCTCTCTCCCTTCACCCCAAATTTGGGCATTTTCAGCTTGGGGAACTTCAGTTTGCCCTCAGGGCCTTGGACGTTCAAATCTGGGGCTTCAACCTCGACTTTGGGGCCTTTGATGTCCAGCTCGGGGCCCTTCAAACCCGGCACGGACACGTCCAGGTCGCCGCTGGCCTTGGCACCGTTCAGGGTCAGGTCCACGTCCGGCACGGAGATTTTGGGGGCCTTGAGGTGCATTTCGGGCCCCTGGATGTCCAAACTCGGCGCCTCAATGTCCACCTTGGGGCCGGACACCTCCACGCCGCCCTTGGGGAGGTTCACGTCCAGCTCTGGACCTTCAGCTTTGACCCCGGGCATCCCAAATTTGGGCATTTTGAACTTGGGCATCTTGAATTTGCCCTCGGGGCCGTGGACGTCCACTTCGGGTGCTTCAACGTCCACTTTGGGGCCCTTGATGTCCACGCTTGGGACGCTGACGTCCACCTTGGGGCAGGAGACGTCCACCCCCGCTTTGGGAAGGGTCACGTCAACGCTGGGGGTCTCTCCCTTCACCCCAAATTTGGGCATTTTCAGCTTGGGGAACCTCAGTTTGCCCTCGGGGCCTTGGACGTTCAAATCTGGGGCTTCAACCTCGACTTTGGGGCCTTTGATGTCCAGCCCGGGGGTCTGCAGCTCCCCTTCCAGTTTTGGGGCGGAAACGTCCAGATCTCCCTTCACTCCAGGTCCTTTCAGGCTCAGGTCGACGTCGGGCACGGAGATTTGGGGGGTCCTGACGCTCACCTCGGGCACCGTCACCGCGGGGCCCTTGATGTCCGCTCCGGGCACCTCCACCCCGATTTGGGGCCCTTTAAGGTCCAGTTGGGGCCCCCTGAATTCGCCCCCCACGGTCGGCACGGACACGTCCACTCCTCCCTTGAGGCCAGCGTCCATCTCCACGCCCTTCAGGCCACCCCCTGGCCCGGCCACGTCCACCTGGGGACACTTCACGTCCACCTGGAGCCCCTTGGGGCCGAGTCCTTTGAGCTCCCCTTCCCCTCTGGGGCCCTTCAGGTTCAGGTTCACGTCCGACAGCGAAATTTGGGGCGTTTCCACCTTCTTGAAGGCGGGGCCTTTCCATTCTCCTTCCAGGGCCACCTCGGGCACGGCCACGCCCTTGGGGACATCCGCGGCGCCGCCGTCGGCCTGGGCGGTGAATTTGGGGAAGGTCAAGTGCGGGATTTTGATTTTCCCCTTGGCGCCGTCCGGGGCCGCGACCTCCACGCCGGGGACGTCCAGAGGAGGGGAGGGGACCTTGGTGGCACCTTTGGCTGCCACGTCCACCTGCGGCACCGCGGCTTTGCCAGACGGGGACGAAACGTCCGGCACAGGCGAGCAGGTGACGTCCATGCCAACGCCCACCTGCGGGGCCGCAGCTTCGCCGCCGGCCTGGAACCCGAATTTGGGGATTTTTAACGTCGGGATCTTGATTGTCCCCACGTCCACGGGGGGCGAGGAGCCGCTGACCTCTCCCTGCGGACACGGAGCCCCGCCGGACACGCGCAAGGACCCGTCCAGCTCTCCAAACTGTCCATTGGCCTCGACGCGGGGCGGCGCCGGGAAGGCGCCGGAGCCCTTCCAGCCCGGCAGCGATTTTCCAGTTTCTCCAGCAGGAATTTGGCTCTGGGGCTCCGTCCGCACGTGGAGCCCCTCGGGCGCGCCGGGCAGGACCCCCGGCGGGGGCACGGGGACGCCGAGGACGCCGAGGTCGCCGTCGTGGCTGGTGACGTCCACGGTGTAGGCGGTGACCTTGCGGGTGACCGTGATGGTTCTGCTCTGCGTGGCCTCGGCCTCGGGGCCCTCCTCGGACTTGAGGCGCGGTTTGATTTTGGTGGTGTAGATGCGCTGGTACTCCTCGTCATCGCCGCTCTGCGGAGGAGACGGTGAGCGCCGGACGCTGCTTCCTCCCCGTGCCCATCCTCAGCCTCATCCCCGCCCTCTTCCCCATCCTCATCCCCGTCCTCTTCCTCATCCTCATCTTCATTCTCATCCTCATCCTCATCCCCTTGTTCTCATCCACATTTTCATCCCCATCCTCTTCCCCATCCTCTTCCCCATCCTCATCCTCATCCTCATCTTCGTTCTCATCCTTATTTTCATCCTCATCCTCTTCCCCATCCTTGTCCTCATCCCCCTTATCCTCATCCTCATTGTTCCCACCATTCTCATCCTCATCCTCCCCCATCCTCATCCTCATCTGCACCATCTTCATCCTCATCCCCATTCTCTTCTTCCTCATCCTATCCCCATCTTCATCCTCATCCTCTTTTTCATCATCTCCATCCTTATCTTCATCCTCATCCACCCCACCATTCTGGTCCTCATCTTCCTCCATCCTCATCTTCATCACCTTCATCTTCATCCTTATCTTCATCCTCATCCCCATTCTCCTCCTTCTCACCCTCATCTTCATCATCTCCATCCTTATCCTCCTCCTCCCCACATCTTCCTCCTCCTCCTCCTCCTCACTCACCAGCACGACCTCGGGGCTGCCGGGCACCAAGGCCAGCTGGCCGCAGTCGTGTCCGAGCTGGCCGCCGCCGTGCGCGGCCGTGGCCGTGGGCGAGCGGTCGCCGCGGCGCTGCAGCCGCAGCCCCAGCGTGTGCTGCCCCATGCTCTGCAGCAGCTGCGCCGCCTCCCCCGACTGCAGCTTGTCGAAGTAGACGGTGGCGCTGACGATCTGATCCCCTGGGGACAGCGAGGGGACAGGGCCGGGTCAGGGGCCGGGGGGGGACACGGCCAGAGACCCCCTGACCCCGCCCGAGTGACCACGGGGTGAGCAGGGGAGGGAGGAGATCCTGAGGTGCCACCAGGGTGTCCCCAAGTCCCCAAAACTCCAATTTTAACCCCCAAACCCTCGAGATTTGGTCCCCAAACCCTTGAACCGCGGGGTGACCGCCCACAGGGGATGGAGACGGAAGCTCCTGAGATGCCACCAGGCTGTCCCAGGTGTCCCCAGCTGTCCCAGGTGTCCCCAGGTGTATCTCAGGTGTCCCCAGGTGTCCCCAGAGCCCCCAGCTGTCCCCACGTGTCCCAGGTATCCCCAGGTGTCCCCAGCTGTGCCCGGTGTCCCCGGTGTGTCCCCGGTGTCCCAGGTGTGTCCCCAGCTGTCCCCAGCTGTCCCAGGTGTGTCCCACACCTGAGCCTGAGCCTGCTGGGGGGACACCTGGCCTTCCTGCTGGGCATCGGGGCCACCCACGACAGGGTGAGGGGACATTGGGGACACTGGGGACACTGGGGACATTGGGGACACTGAGGGGACACCTGAGCCTGAGCCTGCTGGGGGGACACGCGGCCTTCCTGCTGGGCATCGACCGTGCCCACGACAGGGTGAGGGACACTGGGGACACTGGAATGTCCCCAAGGGGGTTTGGGGGTCCCTGAGCAGATACTGGGGACATTTGGGGGGATTTTGTGGCATTTTGGGGACATGTGGCTGAGTTTGGAGGTGCCACCTCCCCGCCCTGGTGTCCCCGGTGTCCCAGCTGTCCCCAGGTGTCCCTCCAGGTGTGTCCCTGGTGTCCCCAGCTGTCCCAGGTGTGTCCCCAGGTGTGTCCCCGGTGTCCCCAGGTGTCCCCCCACGTGTCCCCCGGTGTCCCCGGTGTCCCAGGTGTGTCCCCACGTGTCCCCCCAGGTGTCCCCACCTTCCTGCACCACGCCCATGCGCGCGGCGGGCGAGTTCTGCTGCACGCGGCGCACGAAGACGCCGTGGTCGGTCTGGGCGATGGTGATGCCGTGGGAGCCGCTGCCCTGCCAGTTGGGCAGCAGGATCTCGCGCGTGGGCTCCTCGCGCTCCATCTGCGCCCGCGGGACACACACGGGTCAGGGACACGGGACAGACACGGGTCAGGGACACGGGACACGGGACAGACACGGGTCAGGGACATGGACACGGGACACGGGACAGACACGGGTCAGGGACACGGGACACGGGTCAGTGGGACATGGACACAGGACAGACACGGGTCAGGGACACGGGACAGACACGGGTCAGGGGACACGGGACACGGACACGGACACGGGTCAGCAGGACAGGGGACACGGACACACGACACAGGACACGGGTCAGCAGGGACGAACACGGGACATGGGACAGGGGACACAGGACACCGGGCTGGAGCCAGTGGGGATGGACACGGGGCCGGACACAGGGTCAGGGGTCAGAGAGGGACTGGACACGGGGTCAGGGGTCAGGGTGGGAGTGGACACGGGGCTGGGAGCGGGGCTGGACATTGGGGGTGGGCTGGACATGGGGTCAGGGGTCAGGGTAGGGGCCGGACATGGGGCTGGGGGTCAAGGGGAAGGCTGGACACGGGGTCAGGGGTCAGTGGGGGGCTGGACACAGAATTGGGGGTCAAGGTGGGACTGGACACAGATTTGGGGTCTGGGGTCCCGCTCCGGCCCCGGTGGCCGGACACCGGGTGTGGGTCTGGCCAGGGACTGGACACGGGGTCAGGGGTCAGGGTGGGACTGGACACAGATTTGGGGTCTGGGGTCCCGCTCCGGCCCCGCTGACCTCGGCGGGGTCCCGGTGCCGGTGCCGGTGCCAGGAATCCTCGGCCTCGCTCGGGAACCTCGCGGCGGCTCCGGTGTCACCTCCCGGCCTGGGGGGGACAGGGGGACACGGTGGGACAGGGGGACACCCCCAAGAACACGGGGACACCCCCGGGACACCCCCGGGACATCGGGGACACGGGGACACCCTCAGAGGGGGGCGGGGGGACCCGGGGGTGACTCAGAGCGGCCGCGGCCGCGGGGGGCTCCAGAACGCCGCCAAAATTCGCTTTTTTCCAACAACTTTCTGCTTTTTTCGGCGATTTTCTGGGGTTTTTAACCGAATTTCTGAATTTTTTCACCGATTTTCTGCCTTGTTCTACCGATTTTCTGCCCTTTTTTACCCATTTTCTGCCTTTTAAAACAGATTTTCTGTTTTTTTTTTAATCGATTTTCTTCCTTTTTTAACCGATTTTCTGCCTTTTTTTAACCGATTTTCTGGGTCTTTTTTACTTATTTTCTGGGGTGTTTTTTTACCGATTTTCTGCCAATTTTTACCGATTTTTTTGGTTTTTTCACCGATTTTTTAAACCCCCGGGACATCGGGGACACGGGGACACCCCTGGGATATTTGGGGACACCCCGGGGACACTTTGCGGACCCCCCCGATGTCCCCACGGGGTTTTTTTGGGATTTTTGGGAATTCCGGAGCTGGGAGGGGTCGGGGCAGCGTGGGAATGTCACCTGTCCCTTGTCCCTTTTGTCACCTGTCCCTTTTGTCACCTGTCACCTGTCCCTGTCACCCGCCCTGCCTCGCTCCTTGTCCCTGACATTTTGAGGGAATTTCTCCGTTTTTAGACAATTCCGATGACTTTTTGGTTTTTTTTTTCTTTTTTTTAATCCTTTCCCTGCTCAAAACCCCCCCAAAAAATGGGGGGAGGGGGACACTGGAGGGGGGCGGTGACACCTGGGGCCGATTTTCTGGGTCTTTTTTACTTATTTTCTGGGGTGTTTTTTTACCGATTTTCTGCCAATTTTTACCGATTTTTTTGGTTTTTTCACCGATTTTTTAAACCCGATTTTCTTCCTTTTTTCACTGATTTTTTTTTTCCCACCGATTTTTTGGGTTTTTTTTTCACCTATTTTTTTGGTTTTTTCACCGATATATTTTTTTTTAAACCGATTTTTCGCAGTTTTTCACCGATTTTTTTTTCTTTCACCGATTTTCCCTTTTTTCCCGCTGGGTGGGGGTGGGGGTGACACCCCCCCCCTTGGTGACACTGCGCTGTCCCCTCAGCAATGCCACCCCCCCTCCCCTCCCCCCCCGCGCTATTTTTGGGGTGCCAACCACGTGCGGCCCCGCCGCTATTTTTGGTATTTTTGGTATTTTGGGTATTTTTGGTATTTTTGGTGCCGATTTTTTGGGTTTTTTTTTCACCTATTTTTTTGGTTTTTTCACCGATATATTTTTTTTTAAACCGATTTTTCGCAGTTTTTCACCGATTTTTTTTTTTCTTTCACCGATTTTCCCTTTTTTCCCGCTGGGTGGGGGTGGGGGTGACACCCCCCCCCTTGGTGACACTGCGCTGTCCCCTCAGCAATGCCACCCCCCCTCCCCTCCCCCCCCGCGCTATTTTTGGGGTGCCAACCACGTGCGGCCCCGCCGCTATTTTTGGTATTTTTGGTATTTTGGGTATTTTTGGTATTTTTGGTGACCCCCCCCCCAAAACACCCGCGGGGGGAGGGGCTGGGGTTTTTGGGGGGATTTGGGGTCCCCCATGGGGGATTCTGGGGTCCCCAGGGGGAAATTTGGGGTCCCCGGGCCCGGATTTTGGGACCCCCCGGGGGTTTTTGGGAAAGGGGAAATGAGGGGAAAGATTGGCAAAAATGGGGGGAAACCGGGAAAAATGGGAAAATGGGGGGGAAATAGGGGGAAAATGGGGGGAAAAATGGGAAAAATTGGGAAAAAGTGGGAAAAATGGGGGAGAAGGGGAAAAAAGGGGGAAAATTGGGAAAAAGTGGGGGGAAATAGGGGGAAAAGGGAGGAAAAAAGGAGGGAAAAAGGGCCATCAGAACCCCCTCAGGACCACCCGAACCCCCCGGGACACCCCCGGGCCACTCTCGGCACCCCCGGGACCAACTCCCGCCGCTCTCGGAACCCCCCCAGACCCGTCCCGGGACCACCGGGACCCCCCGAACCCTCCCGGAGCCCCCCGGGACTCCCGGGACCGCTCCCGAACCCTCCCGGGACCGCCAGAACCCCCCCGAACCCCGCCCGGGAGCGCGTCCCGGAGCCGCCGCCCGCCCCGGCGGTGTCCCGGCTCTGTCCCGGGTCTGTCCCGGGTCCGTATTCTCCCAAACCGGGTCCGGCCGTACCTGCGGGCTCAGCGGGCCATGCCCGGCGCTGGTGCCGGTGCCGGTGCCGGTGCCGGCGGTCCCGGAGCGGCCCCGGCTCGGTGCGGAGTGGCCGCGCCCGGGCGGGTCCCGGTTCTTGTAGGGCGGCGGAGCCTCCCCCGCCCCGCGGGGAGGGCCCGGCCCGGCCCGGCGGCGGTTCTGGGCCTGGTCCTATTCCGGTTCTGGTTCCAGTCTGGGCCCGGGACAGAGCAGTTCTGGTCCCGGTTTAGTCCCGGTTCTGGTCCCGGTTCTGGTCCCGGACCGGGGGCAGTTCTTGTTCCAGTCTGGGCCCGGGGTTGTGCCCGGTACGGGGCGGTTCAGGGTCCGGTCCGGTCCCGGTCCTATCCCAGTTCCAGGCCCGGGACGGGACAGTTCTTTTTCCAGTCTGGGCCCAGTTCTGGTCCTGGTTCTGGTCCCGGTTCGGGGTCCAGTCTGGTCCCGGTCTAGTCCTGGTTCTGGTCCCGGACTGAGGCGGTTCTGGGTCTGGTCTGGTCTGGTCCTGGTCCCGGTTCTGGTCCCAGTTCTGGTCCCGGTCCAGCCCCGGTTCTGGTCCCGGTTCTGATCCCGATCCAGTCCCGTTCCAATCCCGGTCCAATCCCGGTCCAGTCCCGGTCCAGTCCCGGTCCGGTCCCGGTCCCGGTTCCGTTGGACAATCCCGGACCGGGACCCCCCAATCCCCGCCCCTCCCCCCCCAGGTGAGTCCCCAGCCCCGCCCCCCTCAGGTGGCCCCGCCCCCGGGGGGAGGGGGGGGAACCCCCAGACCCCCAAAAATCCCAGAACTGGGAGGGACCGGGATGGACTGGGATGGACTGGGGATACTGGTTTATACTGGGAGGGACTGGGGGGCACTGGGGGGGGCACTGGGGGGTGTCGGGACCCTCGGGCGCTGCTCCCAGTTCAGCCCAGTCCATACTGGGAGCCACAACCTTCCCAACATCGGGAATTTTCCCCTCCCTTGAACCCCCAAAATTCCCTCAAATTCCCTCAAATTCCCCAAATTCCCCAAAATTCTCCCCAAATTTCCCCAAAATTCTCCCAAATTTTCCCCAAAATTAATCTAAAATTATCCCAAATTTTCCCGAATTCTCCCCAGATTGCCCCAAATTCCCCAAATTGCCCAAATTCCCCATCCCTCTTTCCCCACCCGCTGTTCTGGGGCCGCTCCCGGTGGGACCGGGACCCGTTTTGGGCCAATTTGGGACCATTTGGGGGCATTTTGGGGCATTTTGGGGCACTGTGGGGCATTTGGACCCTTTTGGGGCTGATTTTGGGGAATTTTGGGCCAATTTGGGACCATTTGGGGGCCGTTTTGGGGCGTTTTGGGGCACTTTGGGGCATTTGGACCCTTTTGGGGCTGATTTTGGGGAATTTTGGGCCAATTTGGGGCCATATTTAGGGCCATTTTTGCGGCATTTTGGAGCATTTGGGGGCCGATTTTGGGGGCGATTTAGGGATATTTTGGGCTATTTTGGGCCGATTTTGGGGTCGTTCCCGGGGCCCTTTTGAGGCCATTTTGGGCCGGTTCCTGGACCGATCCTGGTTGGGATCGGGGCCGATCCCGGGGCTGTTTTGGGGCTGAACCGGGGCCGATCCCGGGGCTGTTTTGGACCCGTTCTGGGGCCGTTCCCGGTCCCGTTCTGGGGCTGAACCGGGTCAGTGCCCAGCCCTGTTTTGGGGCCGTTCCCGGGTGGTTCTGGAGCCGTTCCCGGTCCCGTTTTGGGGCCGTTCCCGGTCCCGTTCCGGGGCTGAACCGGGGCGGTTCCAGGTCCCGTTTTGGGGCCGATCCCGGGACAGTTCCAGGCCCGTTCCCGGACAGTTCTGGACCCGTTCCCGGGGCTGTTTTGGACCCGTTCCGGTCCCGTTCCCGGTCCCGTTCCGGCCCCATTCCCAGGGCTGTTTTGGAGCCGTTCCCGTCCCTTTCCCGGGGCTCCTTTGGAGCCGTTCCGGTCCCGATCCCGATCCCGGGGCTGTTTTGGGGCCGTTCCCGGTCCCGTTTTGGACCCGTTCCGGGGCCATTCTCGGTCCCGGTCCCGGTCCCGATCCCGGTCCCGTTCAGGGCCGTTCCCGTCCCTCTCCCGGGGCTCCTTTGGAGCCGTTCCGGGCCGTTCCGGGCGGTCCCGGAGCCTGCGGTGCCAAATCCCGGCGCATTCCCGAGCGCTGCCTCATCGCCCCCGCCCCGCCCGGGGGGACCGGGGGGGCTGGGGACACCGGGGGGGCTGTTTTGGGGTATTTCAGTGGGGATTTTTGGGGTTTTCACCCCGTAAATTCCATCCCACTGATTTTTTTGGGATTTTTTGGGGTGAATTGTGGGATTTTTGGGGTTTGCTCACCGTGAAGGCTCCTGCCCCCTCATCACCCAGACCTTGGCTTTTGGGGCTATTTTGGGATATTTTGGGGTATTTCAGTGGAGATTTTTGGGTTTTTCTCCCCACAAACACCACGTCACTGATTTTTTGGGGATTTTTTTGGGGTGAATTGTGGGATTTTTGGGGTTTGCTCACCGTGAAGGCCAGCTCCTGCCCCCTCATCACCCAGACCCCCGAGATGCTGCTGTCGTGGTCCTTCCCAAAGAGCACCACGGAGGCGAAGGCGTTCTTCCTGAGCTTGTCCAGGCGCTGGAACATCCCTGGGAACCGGGGAAACGGGGAAAAATGGGATAAAATGGGGAAAAATGGGATAAAAACGGGGAAAAATGGGGGAAAATGGGGGAAAATGGGATAAAATGGGGAAAATAATGGGAAAATGTGGGAAAAAATGGGAGAAAATGGGGGAAAAATGGGAAAAAATAGGGAAAAAAGGAGAAAAATGGAAAAAAAATGGGGAAAATGGGAAGAAATGGGGATAAAATGGGGAAAATGGGGAAAAATGGGAAAATATAGGGAAAAATGAGAAAAAATGGGGAAAATGGGAAGAAAATGGGGAAAAAGGGGAAATATAGGGAAAAAATGAGGGGGAAAAGGGGGAGAATGGGAAAAATGGGGAAGAAATGGGGGAAAATGGGGGAAAAAGTGGGAAAATATGGGGGGAAATTGGAAAAAACGGGGGAAAATGGGGAAAAAGGGATAAAATGGGCAAAAAGAGGGGAAATATTGGGAAAAAATGGGAAAATATGGGGAAAATGGGAAAAGATGGGGAAAAAAAGGAGAAAATGGGCAAAATGGGGAAGAAATGGGAAGGACAGGGATGGGAAGGACAGGGATGGGAATGGCGGGGATTGGGATGAAGATGAGGGTAAGGATGAAGAAGAGGATAAGGATGAAGATGATGATGAAGAAGAGGATGAGGATGATGATGGGGATGAAGGCGCACCTGTGATGAGGTTGCAGCTCATGAAGGTCTGGCTCAGCTCCTCGGGGTACCGGTACTGGCAGTACCACAGGGACCAACCCTCGCGGTCAAAGTGCTCCCAGAAGTGCGGCAGCGCCACCGACAGCGTGTCCTCGTTGGAGTACTTGCGCTTGAACTCGTCCAGGACAAACGGACTGGGACACACAGGGGACAGACAGACACTGAGTGACCCCTCAGGGTGACCACTGACCCCTCAGAGTGACCCCAAACCCCTCACAGTGACCCCT